CCCTTTTTCCACCCAAACCAAACAAATAAAAGAAATTGTCAGACCCTATAATCCCTTTGGTGGCTGCGAACCAAACCTCTTAGTGGTGGGGTCAGTAAGAGGAGAGTCATGTGCCGGGTCCAAATAAATGAGATTGGGTCCTCAGATCCGGGTGGATGACGTAATAATTGTTACTTATAGTTAAGAAGTTAATGTTACTAATGAAAGCAATTAATGTGTTTGGCAACAGAAGCACGAATCCTGGGAAGGGTTCTGCTCTTCTGCAAGCTTTTACTTTGGACTCCGGAGACTCAGAGCGTTTAAATTCATTGATACTGGAATTAATCGAACTCCACCTGGTCACAGTTTAACTTGTAACGGCTGTTCGCTGTATTAAGCACGACGGGCACATGGCCCCTCTAACTCGCCTCTTCTCAACTCTCACTAAAATAGGAGTGGGTCACCACAAAGAGACAGCGACGAGTGAGGCTCAAAATGCTATGAAAATGAGCTTTTGCTCCCCAAGTGCGAAGAAAAGGGCACGTAGAGCTTATTATATACTTTTTCTATGCTTTCTGTTACACAAACAAAGCTTTGAGGATGAGCTTGCAGATTGCGACATCGTGCCAACTAATTTTCCCATTCCCTCGTTTGGCTCTGCTTAATTGTGAAGGTCACAGAGGGGACCAATTTAGAGATGAAAGAGGGACGATATTGATCGATAGAATCTATTTGAATGCAATAATTTTTGAGAGATGACAATGACTTTGGATGGATCCGTTTCTGGTTATATAGTAAATGTATAGTGGTGGTTGGAACTTGAGGGGTAACTAATGGTCGGTTTGGCAACTAAAAAACTAGCATGGTTTTTAGTTTTGGACTAGCTACATTTATCTAGATTAGAATATAAACTAGTTTTTATGTGAATTAGTTTTAAGTTGAACTTAGTCTGGCTATTTTTTTTAAACAAAATTGGTCTAATGCTAGTTGTCACCTCTCTTTTTCATTTCCGAATGCTTTTTTAATGCTAAAGCAAATTAGTTCTATTTGAAATCAAGGGAGACTTGGTTTGAAATAGAACCGATTGTCGTACAAAATTGGGCCAAACATAAACTAGTTTTGCCCAACTATTTTACTAACCAAAATAGGGCAAGACTATTTTGGCCAAAGTTGTAACCACTAAAACTAGTTCTTTAGAGTTGTCAAACCCACCCTATTATAATAGAGAAGAAATGGATGAATCGACGGTCAATGTAACCAAATACTCTGAAGGCATGTTTGACAACTCACTTACTAAACAGAAAATATCACTAATATGGATAAGGACTTAAATTGTGTTTGACGCTAACTTCGGTAATGACTTAAAATGTGCTAAACAATAAACTAGTAGAAGATGGGACTAGTTCCTTGAACTATGGACGGGATAAATGATCAGTCTTAAGTCAATCCAATTTCTCACAATCCCAAATCTATTTGTTTGAAGACTCATACCAAGTGTAATAACAAGACGGAGGGGTTGCCAAGATAATAGTCTTCAGGTGGCCAGCTCTTAACATGGCAAGATCCAGCGGAAGCAAAACCCGAATTCATGGACATATCTTGTACGACACCATGTTTGGCAGTAATACAGGATTCTTTTATAGCAACTAGTAAACGTTGATGAAGATAACTCTGAACAAAATATAAGCGAAAACATTCCTTGGTTCTCCATCTCCTGCCTACCAAGCAACATCTTCTTCAACAACTTTTGAAGGTCGCTAACGTTGATGAAGATAACTCTGAACAAAATATAAGCGAAAACGTTTCTTGGTTCTCCATCTCCTGCCTACCAAGCAACATCTTCTTCAAGCAACATCTTCTTCAACAACTTTTGAAGTTTGACTCAAGTATTAATTTACTACAAAACTGAATGAGAATATTAGATAATATAAATATGAGTGAAATCACGCCTAAAAATTAATGTGAATATGAGTCAAACTACAACTAAAAATTTAATGGACATATTTCAAGTAAATTCATATGTAAAATTCCTTTGCGAATTAAATGACCACCAATCTTTTGAAGACTTCAAGATATTAATAAACAGATATGTTGTACTATATTAATGTGTGTTTATAACTCACAAATAGTAGATCGCCTGACCGCAGTCTGAGCTGAA